AGACGGCAGCCAAAGGGGCTCGCCAGCAGAGGGGAGGGGTTCGGTGACTGGGGAATGCTCTGCAGGAAAGTTGAGAGTAAAAGTCGAACCATAGAACCCCTTCGATAGAGTGTGGCTTAACCCTTTAGCTGCCAGAAAGATGGAACCCTAGTGCCTCATTCCAGACAGTTTTCCAAGGCATAACTCTACGTATTCCAGTCTATCAAACCTCGATTCTACTCTATCAAGGGACCGCCTCGAATATACAGTCCAACATTTCTCGTAAATAAGGGTGTCCTGTCCGACATGAATATCCCTGAAAAGGGAGTGGTTTCCTTTCTCGGGGTCGTGTCGTATCCCCGAGTGATATTTGCACTATCGAATTAACCCCCCAAAATGGCATTTTCGCAAATTAACCCCCAACCGCAGAGTGAGTCACCGACTTTTGGCAGTGACTGTCGAGGCGAAACATTTAGATAAGCGAAAAGTGTGATCACAACTGCAATTGGAGATTTTTCAATTGCTTTTTTCCGTCTCAAAACATTTGAGATTCATCCGCGAGTGCGCCCCCGCCCCCGGGGGGTCATTTGTGCCGCACAATGGCAGCTACGTGTTAAGCAGCGTTGCATCATCAGTATCATCAAAACGAGAAGAACAACGAGAGTGTGGAGAAAGCACCGAAAGAAAGCAGAAAGAACAAAAAACACCCGCATAGACAAAAGGCACGACAAGCACTTTAGCATGTCGCAATGTCCCCAGGGACGGGGGACAACAACAAAGACGGCAAAAAAAAAAGCAAAGAACCTCTCTACAGTTCACACTTTGCCACCCGCTCCCTGGCCCGCTTCCAGGGTATCCTATCCGTATCCTACCTATTTAGGGATTTCACTCCTTTCCGGCACCCACCTTTTGTTTTGTCTCGTTGCAAATTTTGCACGTGTGTGTTTATTTAAAGAAAATTGCTTCACTCAGCCGCCGCAGAGACGCATACAAAGGGCGGGGGGAAGGGACTGGGGGAAGCACTTGTAAAAAGCGACAGCAGGAAATAAATAAACAAATGAAGATGAGTTCTCTGAAGAGAGACAGAGAGGGAGAAAAAGGATTCTCTTGCAGACAGACACTCGATGTGAAGGATGTGCCTGAGCAGCTCACAACCCGGAACTAGTTCCTGCTGTTCGAGTGAGGAGCCCACAACCCGGAACTAGTTCCTGCTGCTCGAGTGAGGAGTCCCCCAACTAAATGCCAATTAATTACCAAACAAAATCTCATTAGGACGCCACGTCACGTAACCATCAAAAAGCCATTTATGTAACAATCTTTCCACCATCTCCATGCCCTTTCCCTCTTTCCAGTACCCAACGAGGCGCCATTCGGCATGGAGGCCCTGCTGCTCAACGCCTCGGCGGTGTTCCTCAAGTGGAAGGCACCCGAACTGAAGGCACAGCATGGTAAGCACTACGACCCTTTTCGATGAGACCGATAACCGATAAATAATCGCTTGGACTGCTCTTCGATTTGCAGGCATTCTCTTGAACTATCACGTTGTGGTGCGAGGCATCGACACGGCCCACAACTTCTCGAGGATTCTCACGAATGTCACCATCGATGCGGCCTCGCCCACGCTCGTTTTGGCCAATCTCACCGAGGGCGTTATGTACACGGTGGGCGTGGCAGCGGGCAATAATGCCGGCGTGGGTCCCTACTGTGTGCCGGCCACCTTGCGTCTGGATCCCATCACCAAGCGTCTCGATCCGTTCATCAATCAGCGGTAAGTCCCACGTTTCGGGCGTGGGGGGGGGAGGGGTGCGAACCTTTCAACTATTTTGGGGCTGAAAATCTATTTTTAGCGCTCGTTTTATCCCCTACAAATAATTTCTATTTCTAATTTTGGCTCTCCTGCAGCTACCCCATCAATCAGGATCATGTTAACGATGTGCTGACACAGCCCTGGTTCATAATACTCCTGGGCGCCATCCTGGCGATACTCATGCTGTCCTTTGGGGCCATGGTTTTTGTGAAGCGCAAGCACATGATGATGAAGCAGTCGGCCCTGAATACCATGCGTGGTGAGTATTTCCTGGACACTACACAGGCACATCCTGCAGCCTGGAGCCTGTGGAGCTTTGCATCCGCTAGTTTTCGTTTCCTTCCTAGCCAGACAGGCACACACACATTTGCCTGTATATAAATAACGCTAATTTTTGCATTGTTGGGGCCTCTGCTGCTGTGTAAAAATAGGTGCGAATAAATATTTTAGCAGGGCCGAGCCACAGACACGGAGTATCTGTATCTCCGCATAGAATGCTCGTAATAGAAATTAACATTTTGCACGTGACGGCAACTTCCTCTGGCCTCTGGACACTCCCCCACCCCACCCCCTCTCTAATGGCTGCCATTGCAATTATGCATTTAGTTTTGTGTGCATTATTAACCAACAAGTTGTGTGTGTGGGCAGATGGCCTAAATGGAACAGGGAACAGAGTTAGAACAGGGAGTAGAGAGCAGTGAGGCGGCTCTTGTGGTCTAATTGAAATTAGCAACATTACGAGGTGATAGGGAGGGGTGGGAGGGAGCAGGGAGGGCAGCCTGTTGACTGGGGAATTTTCGGTTTTAGCCGGTTAGCCCCTAAATGGTTGTCGGGGGTGGAATTTTACAGCAATGTTAAGGGAACTTTGAAAAAGGGCAAGCAGAAAGGTGTTCCATGAAAACTAGTCTGTAAAGAGTTTGAGGCACCTCCAGAGGACCCGAATATTTCAATAAATTCCTCTTAAATCCTGCTTTAATTTTGCCAAAACTCTGACAATGATTCAAACCATTTGGCGGCAGTCGCTGGCTGTGTGGCAATCCAGCACTCAACAATAGTGTAGAACAAGTCAAAATCCAAATGGGGAAACACGGAAAAAAGGCGTTGCATATTCATGGGGCGCCATTTACCATAAACTAAGCAGCATTCGGGAGCATCGGGGGGCATCAGGGAGCACCAGGGAGCTTCGGGGAGCACCAGGGAGCTTCGAGGGGAAGTGCGACAGCTGAATGAATGCTCACCTGCAGTAAAAACTCTGCAAAAAAGGACACAAATTTGAGGGGACAGGACAGCAGACAGCTCTGAACAGTGGTCGGGGGGGAGTGGGAGTCGGGAGGTGGCAGGCCATAAAACACTCGCTTGATGCGCAGTTATAACCCGGGGACAGTTTAATTGGTTGCATTTTTTATACGAATATGCAACACAATTTTGTCTCTCCCCCTCCCCTTGTTGTCGTTGTTCTGGTTGTGTTTTGTGAGCTTGCAACGCAAGTGGAAAATTGACAATAATTTATTTGATTTTTTCCATGGCATTTCCCCAACCTCCCCGAAACCTCCCCCCAACGGGGGATAATATTATTTTAATGCGCTCAATTTATAGCAGAGGAATTAAATCCACTGGGACGGGGGGGTGGGGGGTCAGAGAGTGTTCCAGGGATGGATTTCGAAACCCTCTCGAAGATCACCCACAAAAAGGGGCATTCCGGCAGCCATATCCTTTCCCAGAACACACTTGTCTATGGCTTGTCCTCCGTTTTGTATGTTTTTGTTTAATTTGCGGACTGCAATTTATCCTGCCCCACAATTTGTTGCACAACATTTAATTGCTCTGACTGACTGTCTCCCATCTCCAACCTCCACCCTCTTCCACCTGCAGGCAATCACACGAACGACGTGCTCAAAATGCCGAGTCTATCGACACGGAATGGCAACGGCTACTGGCTGGATGCCTCCACGGGCGGCATGGTGTGGCGCCCCTCGCCCAGCGGCGACTCGCTCGAGATGCACAAGGATCACATCGCCGACTATGCCCCTGTCTGTGGCGCTGTGAGTCCCGGCGCTGGCGGTGGTGCCGGTTCGGGAGGCCCCGGCCCTGCCGGTGGGGCTGGCGGCATCAGCGGCGTCGATGACATTCATGGAGGACATGGCAGTGAACGCAATCAGCAGCGGTAAGTTTTTCCAACGAACAAAAACCAATCCAGCAAATTGGGGTTACCCCCAAGGCAAAAAGACTTGCCACGACCTGCGGATACGCTATGGAGGGTAGAGCCTCTTCTGAAGCCCTCAACAAACTCCGCCTTCAGTCGGTAGTACCCCTCTTAAAGGCTGTGGAGTACTCCTATCCCTAGAATCAGAGCCTCTTCTGCAGCCCCAAGGCCTCAACAAACTCCGCCTTCAGTCGGTGATACCCCTCTTAAAGGCTAAGGGTATGCCAGCAACAACAACCTGCCAGCTCAAAGCGACGACAATAAAAATTCACCAAACTGTGAAATTGCATTTTTCTGCCGCGGCGACTACCGAAAAAAAAAACGAAGAAAGACGAAAGTATTCCCCCAAAAAACAGAAGGGGGCTTCCCCCCCAAGCAGACACACGTATAGTTTTTGTAGAGACTTTTTCGGCTGTCCCTTTTGGCCGGTGGCCACTGGCCGGTGGGAAAATCAAGTTAGGAATAGAAATGTTGGCCAGGACCAGGCTATTTATGTTGATTTTTCCGAATGGGCCAATGCCCAGTGGAGTTCCTAGTTGCTAGTCCTGCCGGCGACAATGTAATCATCAGAGAGGCCTTTAAGGACTGCACTTTAGGGCGACCTTTAAGGTTCGTCGAGGGCTGGCATAAAATATGTTTTGCATAATTTAGCCACGCATTTGTAATTAGTTTTGTGGTTCGGCCTGAAGGGTGGCCTGAAGTTCGGCATGAAATCAAAGTTCGAATCCAGTTAGCAGCCGAGGGGAGAGGACAGAGGGGGGACCCCGCGGCAATCTAATTTATTTGTCTGGCCGCTGGCAAATGCAGCAAAATATTGTTTCGGGCCTGAAATTGTAGCAATGTTTCTGGCATCGAACCGTAATTGTTATTTATTTGCGGCTAATTTTGTGTTGGCCGCAAATTATACGTAAAATAAAAGGGGGACCAGGAGGAGGGCTTTAAAAATAAAAAAGAAACAGGAAAAATGGTGTAGAAATTGTAGAAAAAATCACTTAAATTTGATAAACTCACCATCAAAAAGCATTTATATTTTGAGCTGGAATCACTTCGTAATCACCATATCATGGCAGACCTTGAAAAAAACCTATAATAAAAAAATACAAAGAAATATTTAAAATTTAAATACAGCATTTTCCGAGACCAGCAGCTGCTGTCCAACAAAAATGGCAATTAAATGCCAATCAAGCATCAAAAGCTAAAGAGTCAGTTTTTCCAAAAAAAAACCCGCCATAAAATAAAATGTATTTTATTTATTTAAATAAAGAACGTAAAGGAATACCCGCATGGGGTGGGGGTCTGCTCAAATATTAAATGGAAATGTTTTTCCCAGCGACTACTGTAAATAAATGCCAGAATCCAGAGTCGAGAATCCAGAGTCGAGAACCCAGATAATTATAATTATTTTTGCACACTTAATTAGTCATTAAAAACGCAAATTGAAAATGAGTCGCCTTTCCACTCTCTGTCTGGTTGCAATTTAATACAAATATTAATAATAATAGCAACAAAATAATAACCATAACAATAAAAGTAATCAGGATAATAATGAGTGTCATATGCGTGAAGGGGGGAGAGAGAGCAGGCAGCACTGGAGAGAGTGGAAAAGGAGTGAAGGGTCTACTTGGAATAGATTGAATATCCCAATATTCCAGCCAAGATTGAAGGGGAAAGGAGTGGGCTTTAAATATAAAAAAAAGGAGAAACAATGGGGGAAGACTTAGTGTTTTAACTCATGGAAAAAATGTTGTAGAAAATCTAGGAAAAAATCACTTAGATTTAGGAAACTCCCTTACAAGCTTATGAGGCTCAGAACCCCATACAGTCCTCCCAGTTCCATGCCAGTCGAGGCCACGGTGGAGTCTGGGACGAGCAGTCCTAAAAGATACCAGTGATATCCGTTTTTCATCTGCAGTCTGTTCCCAAATAGATTTATCAAATATAATTCGCTTAACAAGTTGAAATGTTTTGCCCCGTTTCCGAGTGAGCATTTGACAAGCTCATTACTATTCCATGGCCTGGCACTGGGCATCCCTGGCTGCGACTGCCCCACTCATTAAGGGCATTAAAAGCGGTCTATGTGGAGGGCTCTCCGCCTGGCCATGGCAACCGGTAACTCCATCAATGCGCCGTATATTTTTACAAGCTTTTCAGAGTTTTAAAATCAGTTTTTTTTTTTTTTTTTTTTTTGGGTCTGTCTGCCCTGCCGCCAGGTTAATCCGCTTTCAGTATTTAAATACGAAAATAATGCTAAAAAAGGGGTAGGTTGGGTGGGAATTCCTGCTCCTTGGCGCTGTTTAAGCTGGTCATTTATTTAATGGATATGCAAGGATTGCTTTGGTCTAGGAAACATCCAGCAAAAACTATATTTTCTCACCTGATCTTGACCATATAGTCGTACGTATGAAATGCGAAATAAATTCACATTTTTCCACATGGAAGAGCACCCGCAGAGTCGGAAGCAACGCCGGACCGGAGTCCACCGGACTGGACCGAAAAATGCAAATTTCCGACGCGCCACGCCACGCCACGCCATAAATTCCGTAGACCAAAATCCCAACCAGCGACCGACAAATTTATAACCAAAAGATGGGGGCAGGCCGAGGGAATTTTCCGGGCTGTGGTTGGGGGGTTGGGGGGGTGGGGGGTGTGTTGTACTCGCTATAAACAAGCCAAGTAATAACTGGGTTCTTTTTTTCATTTGTTTTTATCTGTTCATTTGCAGGTACGTGGGCGAGTACTCGAATATACCCACCGACTATGCGGAAGTGTCCAGTTTTGGGAAAGCGCCCAGCGAGTACGGACGTCACGGCAATGCCTCCCCGGCGCCCTATGCCACATCCTCGATACTGAACCCGAACCAACAGCAGCAGCAGCAGCAGCACCAACAGCAGGCGCGTTATCAACAGCGACCAACGGGGCCTGGCTACGGCCTCCAACGTCCCATGCATCCCCACTACCAACAGCAGCATCCCCAGCATCCACAGCAGCAGCAGCAGCAACAGATTCCCCTTCCCCCGGGCAACCACTATCAGCAAATGTCGACCACCAGCGAGATCTATCCGAGCAATACGGGCCCCGCCCGCTCCGTGTACTCGGAGCAGTTCTACTACCCCAAGGACAAGCACATGCACATGCACATCACCGAGAACAAGCTGAGCAACTGCCACACCTACGAGGCGGCCCCGGGACCCAAGCAGCCCTCCGCTCCCGCCGGCAACAGCAGCGCGTCGCAGTTCGCCAGCGTGCGGCGCCAGCAGCTGCCGCCGGGCTGCAGCATCGGACGGGACAGTGCCCGCTTCAAGGTAATCAACACGAGCACAGGTCAGGGGGGTCCGCTGATGGATCAGGGCAAGACCCAGCAGCAGCAACAGCAACAGAACCTACTCGATCTGGATGGCTCCTCCTTCTGCTATAATGGGCTGGCCGACTCCGGCTGCGGCGGCTCCCCCTCGCCCATGGCCATGCTGATGTCGCACGAGGACGAGCAGGCGCTGTACCACACGGCCGACGGCGACCTGGACGACATGGAGCGGCTGTACGTGAAGGTCGACGAGCAGCAGCCCCCGTTGCAGCAGCAGCAGCTTCTGCCGCTGGTGCCGCAGCATCCCAGCGAGCTGCTGCAGCCCTCGCCACACCATCACCAGTCGTGGCGCGGCCAGAGCACTCGAGGCAGCCGCAAGGTCCCCCAGGAGGCCATCAACGTGAAGGAGGCCACCGAACTGATCTACGCCCCCGGCAGTGTGGCCAGCGAGAGGAGTCTGCTGAGCAACACGGGCAGCGGCAGCAGCGGCCAGCCCCCGTGCCACAATGTCTGACCCCTGCAGAGCGGGTCCATGGGGCAGCTAGGCAAGATTCAGGCAGAGGTCCAGATCCAGATCCAGTCCCAGTCCCCCTCCCACACCCACACCCAGTCCCAGGAGCAGTTGTACGCCAGAGAAGTGCGAGAGCTGCTGGCCTGGTGCGAGCGCTTCAACAATGGCGGTGTGGAGAATTTTGAGTAGGGGAATATGGAGAGCCGAAGAATGGTTCCACCTTCGCATTTGTCAGAATTTTTGAACGTGATCAAGACTGAGACTGAAGGAGTGCGAGGATTGCGTGAGAATTACTTATAATTTCTAGTATTACAAGGTTTCGTTTCTCTATAAACATATATGACGAATGCCCAACCCCTGGACCTGGGGGCGAGCATGGGCTCTATGCTAGTGATAGACGTATTACCCTACTTTACCCTCTCTCTCTCTCTCTCTCTCTCTCTCTCTGTCTCTGTCTCTACTCGTATGTATCTTTCTCCAGCTAAGTATCTTCTAAGGTATCTTCTGTAGGTTAAGATCAAGATCATTGTACATGTTGAAGAAAAAGTATGATTAGTTCCTCCAAGTATGCAGATGATGATAACCCACACACTGCTTTAGCTATAGAATACGACTATATATAGGACAGATATCGATAAATGAATGTTTAGCCACCTATGTGTAAATATTGTAATGCACTAGCCGTATATCAAGTAAAATATTCGAAACCAATTATGCAAATGTGAACATAACAAATATTAAGCCTACATATATGCGTATAAATTTAAATTATTGTAACCCTGGCGGGGGGGCAAAGCGATTGGCGGGGGGCTAGTTATTACCGAAGTTTAACTTTTGTAAAGCATCTTTGATCTGCCAATGATTTTGCTCCCCCTCCCCCCCCAATCTTCTCTAAGCATCATACATATAGCACATACATATAGGATATGGTTAGATACATTGTGCATATAGTAATTTAAATTGTAATCCCCATTTAATCAGTTGTTGTGCACATATATATAATCAACGCCACGATAGATACACCACCAAGGCATATAGACAGAAAATTCCTTCAATCTCGAGCCAAGAAAAGATACAATTTCTGTGGCTCTCACTTATGAACTGCGCTCCCAGGCAGGCAGCAATACATTTATATCTAGATCAAGTATGTATATCCCCCCCCGACACCGCATAGAAGTACTCTCCAATCGGGCCCTTTGTGGAGGAAGGTGGCATTTACCGTACGAGTTTGTTGTTTAAAGCGCATTTCTGTGTGTCTATGTGTAACTGTAATTATTGATATTGAATACGTATCTACAATGTAGCAATTAAAATGCAAAAATAAAACAAAACGCCATAATTATGAATATAAAAACAAGCAAATCCCAGCGAAAGCTAGTGTTTTTCCTCGCATTTTGTTTGGTTTTTAGTCAACAATCAACAATCGGTATAAATACGGAAATGAGCAATGCTCTTTGGAGGATGGGCAGTGTATTAATTGAATTACTGCACTCTACGGAATTACATGAAAATATTGTGTACTTTGATGGATAACTATTTTGAGGGGAAAGCAATGGAAAATAGGAATCCCAAAGGCTAGCAGATTTTTGCATGGAATAAATGGTCTATGAAAAGTTGTTCCTAAATGAATATTCTTTCCAAGTGATGAAAACTAAAGAAATTGGTCGTTAAAAGTGAATCAGGGCAAATGCATAACCCTGATTCACTTTTAACACCCAATTTCTTCGCAAAAAACATTCGAAACTAACAACAAAAAATATGGAAAAATCATTCTAGCAAAGAATTGGGGAAATATGCCTGTCTGGGGTTGTTGGATTGCTTACCAAAAGATCAGGGACATTTTTCCAATTGCAGGAACCTATGGAAGGCGCAGATTGGCCCACAAATGACGCAGAAAACAAGATATATATGGGCAAATATCCTCGGTCCTTAACAGGTCTTTCCACCTAATTTTGTTTTTACATCCAAATCCAAAACTTCAAATTTTGTCATAGAATAAATCAAATAAAATCATTGAAATTCGAAAAAGAAAAGCAACCATAGGGATTTCCTTTCTGACTTTCATTGTTTTCGACTGTCACATTTCAATTCAATTCTCAATCGCAGCACTAGTGTAAAGGAAAAAAATAATGTTGAAGGCAATCGAAGGAGCAAAGGGATCGAAGATAGCAGAAAGCCTCTCGTGCTTCACTGTGGGGTCCACTGTGCGTTGCAAGACCTGCTCCGACGAGGAAGTATTGGGCAAGGTAAGTTGCTGCCAGGGGGTATTTCACAAGGGGTATTTCAATTAACTTATCAATCGGCCTTTGAGGTGGTGGCCTTCGATGCCGGCACCAAATTGCTAATGCTGGAAGCTCCCATTAAGAAGCGTGGTGCCAGTGGCCGGATGCTTTGTGAGAGGAGCATCGTGAACTTGAACTTTTGTATTGATTTGGAGGTCGTCGAGGAGGTCGCGATGCCGAAAAAGATCCCAGTACCGGACGCCCTCGACCTACAGAAGGTGGGTGGAACATGCGTAGTCCTTCTAAAACTCTTAATCTAAGCACCCGTATCCTCTTGCAGCTGCAGAAGCGTTTTGACAATGCCGTAAAGCAGAGGCTCAAGTTCCTCAAGAGCTACCATCCGAAAGTCTCGCCCATGGGCACGGCAATTTATTGCCAATTTGCCAATTATTTGGGCGAAGATCAGGTGTCCTGGCTCGAGGAGGATACGAAAATCTCCATCTTTGTGAAGCAGCAGGTGATCATTGACCCACCCTATGGTGTGGCCAATATCAATACTGCTACCGAGGCGACCAAGCTTCTGACATATGTCCAGAGGATTGTGCAGGAGATCAATTCTCAAAATTAAGTAAAACACACCACAAGAGAGTGCGACTCAACAACAACAACAAATATTTGAAAAAACTTTGAAATATCTACACTCTACACCCCACATAGACTTTGCGTTAAGAAAACACATCTTAAATATACTTTTAATTGCTGATGACGAAGATATACCAAAACAAGCATACTCTGCATGACATTTATAAAATACTACAACTATTAGGCAACGCCAATACACATACATACATATATTATATTGTAATACTTCTACTGTATGGTTTCTATAAGCATAAATGCTCAAATGACAGACAGACCTGGCTCTATCGACTCGATTATTGATGCTGATCAAGAATATATATACTTTATGGGTTCGGAAAGGCTTCCTTCTGGGAGTTACACGCATCCACTTTCCCCAAGAATCGAATACTCACTTTGAGGAGGAGCTCAAGGGATGGATCGAGTCTCGATTGACGCTGTACGTCGTCAAAGACAGTGTATTTGGAACCTTATGGCTTATGGAACCCCGACGAGCTGAGAACCTCCAGAAACCCGCGGTCTGAGACTACGGCTGGCCTTCCTCCACGTCGCCACGAAAGACCCCGTCAAAGAACAGCTTTTTGCGCCCTCAAGCGAACATCTATGTAGGTAGTGTGTGGTCTTTGCTTCAGCCCTCGGTTGTGTGCACCGCCCAAAAGTATGCTATACAATTATCATCGGAAACGTAAGCCCGAAAGCGGGCAACGTAAATGGCCCCAACAAAAGCCCCAAAGTATCCGCTGCACCTGTGTTCCTGTGTGCCGCTAATTGAAAAGTCACAACTTGCCACCTGTGACTGTGCCACCGCAGGCAGCCCGTGCCACGTGCCACGTGCCCATAGCCAGACCTGAATGCCCGTCTGGCAACCCTTTTTGCCGCGACTAATTTTCCACTGGCGACGCGCTTTTAATTAGCTGCAAACTCCGAAACCCAAATTATGCATGACTCTCTCTCTCTCTCTCTCTCTCTCGATGCAACACGGGCTGTGCGGTGCCTCTGGGAGTGTGTGTGCCGCAGATTGTGTTGCCGCTGCCGCCGCTGCTGCGACCGCGCCCATTTTAACTACAAAATAATTACGTGCTAGGCAATTAATGGCCCCAAGGGGTTAGAGTTACAAAAATACTCGTGCGTTTTTTTTCTCGCCCACGTGCGCCATGCGGCAACATCCGGCGGCCATTTGTTGCAAATCGACAGCCATTTCCGGTGCACAAAGTGCTCTCACAAGGCAAGCCAGGCCGGGGCCGGAGCGGAACAGCATTTGTGAGCTGCGGTTTTTTTAATGCGAACAAGAAATCATAATGCTTAATGATAATTTAATCAGCAAGGAGGAGAGACAGAGAGGGAGAGAGAAAGTTCAAGGAGAAGGCCATACGATTCGGTCCACAAAATATTTTGTAGATTTCTTAGTGGATGGTAGAATTGAGGGGTTATAGGGCACTGAATTGGGCCTAATCCTTGGGCCAGCTCCACCTCAATGCCGTCGCTCGCCGGTGGATATATGTATCGTTCCGGGGATCTCCGGGATAAGGGCATCGTGGGCGATGGCCAGGGTACGCTTCTTGGTGAGCACCGGAGAGATCCTTCTTGGGGAAGCCAATGTGACTGTCTAGAACCGGCTGCACGGCTGCAAATCGTAAAAGAATACAATCCCCTGGCTATCCTTGTCAATGCCACCCAAATGGGGGGCACGTTGTAGGGCAAATGGCGCCGCTGATACTGGCTGACGGACAGCATCTGGGCCATGGACTCAATGCTCATGATTTGGAAGTGTTTGTTAGCCCTGTTTCCGCGAGAGAATTGCTAGGACGAGTGGCCCCTCCTGGCCGGCAATGACCAGAACAGTGCCGCCCTTATTCTCGTATATAGAAGGTTTGCCAAGGTGCCAAATGGCCCAAAGGCAAAGCAAAGTAGAAATGCTTCTTGACTCGAAGACTGAACTGATTTGCGATGATTGCGTTTAAAATATAGCCTATACCTTGCTGGCATTCAATAACTTTAATATATGTTAACAAGTCATTGTTTATCTTTTGTAAGCTCCCAAAAGCCAACAAAAATCAGCCAGTCAGGCAGGCAGGGACCCTCCCCCCGCCCCCCATATGGGTAATCCAAAGAGCAAAAGCTGGTTTTGGGCAGGGGGTGGAGGGGGGGAGGGAGGGGGATGTAGCAGATGCGTTTGGCTTCAACTTGTCACCCAACGTTTAACGATAAATTTGCTGACAGCGACAACGGATAATTAGTTTCACTAACGAGAAAACTTCCACTGGCTCGTTCGAAGCCCCCACCCCCAACCCAACCCATCCTCCACCCCCCACCACACACACACACACACACACACACACGAGCACGAAGACATGTCTGGGAGCGTGAGAGCCCTAATGCAACATGTTAACCCAAGTAGCAAGGAGCCAAAAGCAACAGTAACAACACCATCAAGGACTCAACTCTGGGCTACGGGCTCTCTGGATCCGGGGCTCAACTCATGATGATACGAGCTATACGTACGGGAAACAGGATGAACAATCCGGCGGAACGATTCCCATGCTTCAGTGCATCGTTCTCCTTGAGCTAATAAAATGATTATGTGTTATTTTTATGCTGTCAGACGAAGGATGACGATGGCGATGGCGATGGCTGGGCGACGGGTAGGAGCTGGTTGAATGGGTCCTTTACAAGACAGACGGCAGCTCTCTACCAACAGCAATTGCCCTTGATTGTTTACATATTAATCGCAACTTTTAATGGGCAGTGAAACCATTTTTGTAGCAGGGAATGGAAGTGGCCAAAATGTTGGTCCAGGGAATATGCTAATTGAATTGTTATGGCTCGAAATTGTTACTCTCTGTAATGGGATAAGCTCTAAATTGATGCCTCAAGAGTTATAGATTGTCTGCCAGTTTTTTGGAAATATTTGACTGAAGGTTAGGCTCTTTCTTGCATGAGCCATACGCGTCGGACTGGAGGTTTCGGTGCTCTTTCTGTGTAGAGTCGAATCAAACATCTTTATGCCATCTGCTCCGCAGTTTCTGCCGGTACTTCGGAACAACTCAGCAGTCCTTACAAGACCTTACATCAATCTGGTTTGACATCAAAACAATGACAACTTGTAAACAGGATCCGGTTCACCTTTTTAGCATGGTTTAAAGGTACGTATCCTTGAGAGATGTTCTAAAGAGCATTGTTTTGAGAACTATACAAATATATTCCTTTTTCACACAACCAGAATATATTTCATTGGCCCTGCCACAAGATAAATAAGGGAACTGTCTATTCGAAAGATACTGGAGGCCCGAATGGAGGCAAAAGTGATGATATTTCACGATTTTCATCTTCCAAAACTTAAAGTTCCTGCTTCAGAGTATTATAATTTAATAGATTGGGCGATAGAAACGATAACAGACCCTCGAATGGCAATGGTCTTAAGTCCAGAGACAGCAAAATTGAGAACTGAATACTAATTTCCTTCAATTTGAAAGACTTCCTTGTGTGAGAGTGAACTAGAGTGCACTTTTTGGATGTTTTACTTCTTCGAACACGACTTTTGATCGAGCTTCGATCTACATACTTTTCATGTGGCCGTATTTTCGGTATTTTCCCAGAGTGGCCGTACATTTAAGGATTATTAATCTAAGCTGGGATGCCGTATTGGCTGATATATGTTGAAATGGGGCTGCCGTACTGACTGATAGGGGTTACCCTCCCACACTTGCCACAGCCACAGACTGTGGAAAGATGTCTTAGGCCTATGACAGAGCCTTAAGTGCCTTTCTAAAGACCCTCTGGTTCTAGGAAGAGAAAAAATCTCAATTTTGTTCAACCAAAAGAATATATAGAAAATTCCGTTCACTAAACTACGATAATTTCATTTTCCTTTTTGTTATATCAAATTTTAATCATTACGCTTTCAGGTTGAGGGGTCTCTCCTTTCAATAATTTCTTCAATCACACGCCTCACAGATTTGGTATATTCTAGAATTCCATTCAGAGTACGAGTACTCCTACCAGTCCATCCCTTGGAAGCAGATGAGCAACCGGATAACTATTTAACTAAATTAACAATTCACGAGATGAAAACTTTTCAAGTTTTCCACTTGACAGACACGCCCCCTCCGCCTCCACGCGAGGTCCTTTTGTTAGGTAAAAGGCAAACAAACACAAAAAAAAGGAACAGAACGCACAATCTTACAGACAGATGGGGGACAGCCGGGGGACGGACGGGGGGGACTGAAAGCGGAAGCTGGCAAACAAGCGGAAGGCTCTTCTGGCACTCAACTAATGGCAACATAATGCGTTTATTGTGGGGCCCAGAATGGGGCACCAGCCGGGGAATCCCCCAAAGAAGTGATAACCCAGCGCAAATGTCAACGCAAAAGTCAATCAATGCATTGATGGGGTGGCAGCTGCTCGAATGGGGGGGTGGCAGACACACAGCCAGACAGGGGGAGGGGGCGGGGGGGGGTTGGAGAAGTACGCACTTTTCAATGGACCAAACAACAGACACAAGTCAGACGGCGCGGAGCGCATTCAAAATCAATTCAATTGAAAAACATTTTCCCCAGTTTTTACACATATACCCTTGGCAAAGGATATGGCGATTTTAGCCCGAGGTTTGTAACGAAAAGACAAGAATATATGGCATAGATCTAGCATATAGATCGGCCAGATCGGAGGACTATATCTTATAGAAATCATGGCAAAAATCCCTTTGAAAGAGCACTCAAACCTTCGGTGATGGAAACTCCCCCTTCATTCGGGGGTTTTTCCTTTATTTGGAGTACTTGTTTTTCGTTTGAGGGTTGACTTTCCCCCTCTTTTTTTCACGGCCCTGACTTGCCGCTTTTTCGTTGACCATTGACTGGGAAATCACTTGAATTCTGTTAATTTTCATTTACATTTTCGGCTGGAAATGAATGATTTCCTCGATGCATTCAAAACGCTAATGAGACGTAATGTGATGGCCATGACGGGCATGATTCACAGTCCTGTCTCTTCAGTGGCCAAGCCACAATTAATTGCCATTCCTCGCCGACAATCGTCGTCGTTTGTCAAAGAACTTTGTTGCATGCTTAGTGGCAACAACAGCAGCCAGCGAGTGGCTGAGGGATTGCCACATCATCAGCCAACAAATGCCTCAACAGTTTTCAGATACTTATAGCTCATTAAGCCCATGGCGCTCTGGCAACGTTTCA